AATATTTCCTTGTTTTCGTTCTGAACAGCCTCCACTAGGGACGTCCCGATCCAGCTTTTTTCACTTCCAATCCGATAATGATCCGGCTTATCAGAGCATGTGTTAAAGTCTAAAGTTATTTATCTACTTACTTAGTTGTCAGACTCATGTTGAACAGGGATTTACTCTGATAACAACTTAATGGTTAGGACACAGACCTGTGGGTTACAGATGCTAATGCTAATGCTCGTGAGGGATCTGACTAAAAAAAAAAAAACTGGTTCTGGATCTGCGTTTTCTCCTGCCGGTTGATACGCAGTTTTTTGTAAATATCGGCGGCCGATCGGATCCAGATACCGGATCGGGACCAGCTTAGCCTCCACTCTCAAACATCCCAGTTACGTTGGTGGTTTTCTACATCAAATGTAGCCAAATTTTAGCTTTTAACAAAACGCATTTTTGCCCTTTTTCCCCTCTAAAGACACAGGATCCTCTCACCTTTTTGACATCATCATCATCCTCGGCGTCGCTGTCGGGACGCACGTCTCTCCGGGCCCTCTGGTCCCCTGCCAGCCTGCAGACAGAGGGAATACAGTCAGTAACTGGTTTAAGCCAGTGTTTTTAAACCCCTGTGCCTCGGTACACTAGTGTGCCGTGAGTGATGGTCAGGTGTGCCGTATAAAATCATCCTATTTCACCTAATTGGTCTAAAAAATATTTTTTTAATTAATTATCTGCAATTAATATGCCATTTTTGAGTGTCTGTGCTGTTCTAGTGACTGGTGGAGTAATCATGTAATAATTCCGTATGACTAGATTTTGTAGATCATTTTGTATATTGAAGTGGACATGTTAAGTCCAATTTGAAAGAAGAAATATATATGATAAAAAATACATTTTTGTGTTTATTTGATTCCTATTCAAGACACTTAGGATAAGATAAGAATAACTATAGTGTTACTATAGGCGGGTACAGATTTGTTTGACATTTTTAGTTGGTGCTGTGCCTGGGGATTTTTTCTATGAAAAAATGTACCGTGGCTCAAAAAAGGTTGAAAAACACTGGTTTAAGCTACAGTTAATCGAGATAATTAAAAACAGCTTGTTTCATTGCCATCTTACAACAGAGAGCAAATGGGAACAAGTCTCCATCACTGAATGGTAATTTCTGAATATGAATTTAAAGTTTTTATTTCATGCAATGAGAATTTGGGGTAACAGAATTAAACATACGTTAGTTTGCTTGTGAAGTAGTAGCTGTTAATTATGTTCTGCTTTTAAATAAACAGTTCAGGAGAATAATGAAAAAGATACGATTTGATTTTCATCTCATCTGATATAAAGATTTACTTTAATTATACATAATTTAAAAACAAATAGTTCTGTTGTACAATTTCTGACAAACCATGGCTCTTAACATTTCATCAATCCCGTCACAAAAAACCCTCAAAAACTCACCTCAACAGAGCTCCCTCGATGTCTCTCTGCTTGGCAGGGGGGCCGCCGCCGCCTCCAATCTCTGAGAGACTACGCCTGATGTTAAACAGAGTTCAGATCAGTAAATAAAGGCCTTTGTTTCAGATTAACCAACCAGAAATGTCAACAGCTGTCCTGAAAGATTGGTACTCTTTCTTCTAGACCGGCCATTCACCTTGAAGAATGCTAGCTCTGCTTGCAATTTGATGCAAATCAAGTATAAACTGTATGTAGTTTGACATTTATTCAATCAATCAATGTTTAGTTATATAGCACTTTACAACAACCGGAGCTGACCAAAGTGCTTTACAGAATAAAAACAAATCAAACGATCGAAATATACAAAGACAAACACATTGGTGACAGAACCCAGTATACAGAGATTTTACGTGCAAAAAGCCATCCTGAACAAATTTTAAGTTGAGCTTTGAACAGTGGCAGGTCAGTAAATGAACGTAACTCAGTGGTTATATTGACGATAATTACATGTGTATGTAAACAACACACAATTATTAAGAGTAGATATGTGTGGTAATTTATGCTAATGAGTGCTTAGCTATTTAAGTCTTACA